AAAATAATAAAAATACTAAATGAATATGTGTTGTATTATATACAACAAATATATTTTAACAATGTTAATTAAATGTCAAATATATGACATTATTTGACTACGAAATATTCATATCAATCTTTTCCTATGCTAAAGTTTGTTGTCGACGTAACAATATTCGGAGTTCTTTACGTGATGTTTCACTTTTTTTCCGATCATAAATACGATCAATGTACTCACGTGTAAGTTGTAATTGTTCCGGTTCAAGATAGTTTAAAAAGAGAGCAAAAAGCTCCGATTGATTGTAAACGAATGCATCTGTTATTGCTCTAAAATTAATTAATCTAATGAAAGATTTAAAGAAATTAAATTTTCTTTTTAAATAATCCTTAACATTTTTTTTCCCTTTTACATTTGATTCTTATTTTTCTCTTTTCAAGTTTATTATTGGTTATTATTTCAAATTTGTCATTACAAATGTTTGTAATCAGGTAATTTATTCATTTCATATATTTGATATCATTGTAATTTATAAACCTGAAATTTTCCATGGAAAGCATTGCACTACGAAGACGTGGACACGTATTCTCCAAGAGGAATGCTAATTTATGCATACCATCCTCACGAAATCCTATGCTATCTTCCTAAATATTCGAATTAATTTTTGTCTCATCCTTCTTTTTTTTTTTCCTCCCATTTATAAATGAAATGATAAATATTATACTCATTACCCTCGTGTTATTACCATTTATTTGAATTCTTTCACAATCAAATTTCCTCAAACTTTAAATTATCAAAAATTTTGATTGACAAATTTACGACAATTTTCAACATTAATATTCAATCATATGAATTAAAAAATTGTTAAAAATTAAACTGAAAAATTGAGGGACTATTTATGCTTGCTAAATTAAGTCTAGTTCGTATGCAAATATCCTTCCATTTGTTACAACTTTAACATTAAGATTTCGTCCTTTCAACTTTATCCCGAAAAATATCATTAATTGGGAGAAATGTAATTATTTGAAAATGTTATTGGTAATTAACCTGAAGTGAACTTTGAAGTGTTTGATAAAAAGTATTCCAGGTAATTCGAGCCAGACCCGTTGCATTGATTGTACAAAGTCGTTCACATAGGAAATGTAATACTTCACGATCTTTCGCTTTAAAACATATTTTTCGCCATTGCAGTAATCCTATAAATTGTTTTCTTTCTTTTTTTTCTCTCCCATCTCCTCCTTTTCTCCCTCAAATCTTTCATAATCATTGTCCATCAAATCAGCAAATATAATTATTTCAACATTTTGATAAGCTCGAAAAAGAAAGTTGATAAATTTCAAAAAAGAAATACCAATAAATTCTCGTTGTGGATCCGTAATATTATTCCAAATAAAGGTAACAAGTTCAAAATAACCATGTACAATAGCAAATTGAAAAGCTAATGATAATGTTTGTTGTGGTGCTAAATTATCAGAACTGAACATTTTTCCCCATGCATGAGTATTTTCAAGTAATGTAAACCAAAAATCATACAAACAATGTCCGGATAATTTTTTCCTGAAAAAAACGACTCATCAATTTCTTTTTCATCATCATTAGTAACAGAAATGATGTATATATCATTCTAGTAAATGCATTATTTCAAATATATTTGAAAAATTTGTAATATTTGAATAATTAAACAATTCTTCTCCCTCTCTCTTTTTTTTTCTTCCAATTTATTTCATATTTTGATTTTTAAAAAGAATAAAATGTTTCGTATTACAAATCAATTATGAGTTTTCTTTTTTTTTTTTCTTCAAAAATTAATAAAAAATAATTGATAAAAAAACTGTAAAATTGTTCGTAATATTTTACTTACGCAAATGCTTTCAATCTGATACGATCAAAATTTCTTTCATTCAATAAATGATGAATGGCATAAGCACATGCTAACTGAAATTGCATTTGAGGCCAATCAGCACAATCTTTTCTGATAATCATTAGTGCTGTCTTTTGATCATCAATTGCATATCTAAATTATATTTATATACAAAATTTGTCGAATCAAACATGATTATTGATATGCTGAATTATTAATGATAAGCATGCATATGTATGATAATTTCCTATATGCAAACTCAATTATGATAATATTTTATCACTATTAATATTTATGAATGATATGAAAACCTGAATAACATTTATCCATTTAATATGTTTTTTTTTGTCTTTTTAATTTTTTTTTGAATTGAATTATTAATGAAGAAGAATTAATTATTAAAATTCAGCAAAATATGGCAAAAATAGAAATAAAATGCAATACTTATTGTATTTCCAAATGATGCTTCCATAAAATAAACGTAAATGATTGCTACGATGTACTCGTTGACGTAATATTTGACCTGTTTCATTTCTCTTCCT